ATAAAGTTACAACATAAACAACATAAAGTTACAACATAAACGATATAAACGTTACAACATAAACAACATAAAAGTTACAACATAAACAATATAAAGTTACAACATAAACAACATAAAGTTACAACATAAACAATATAAAGTTACAACATAAACATTACAACATAAACAATATAAAGTTACAACATAAAGTTACAACATAAACGTTACAACATTATCAGTGTTGTTGAATTACTCTAACCAAACCTGCTTGGCCTCTAATATTTCTTAACGAAGCACTTTCGTCATTGGATATAAAACTTAGAAATACATCTCTAAGAACAAAATATATTATGGTTATCATTTTAATATGATTTTTGTAAGTAGCCTATTTTTAATATACACATTTTATTGTTGTTTTCTTAGTGCAAAGCTACACAATAGGCTGCCTGCACTCTTTCCACCACGGGGGATCGAAACCTGGATTTAGAGTTGTAGGTCCGTAGACTTACCACTTACTCACTGATACTTGATTAATTGTATTGTAAACGTGATAAAACAATATAACTCTACTGTCTTCTTTAAACTAAATTTGGTTTTAACCAACACAGAAACGATAACCAATACTTACTCTGTAGTCGGCCTTATATTCATTATCAATGGAACTGAAACGTCGCAGTTCCCAGCTCAGTTATTATTATTAACCAACAGAGAAACGATGACCAATACTTACTGTGTAGTCGGCCTTATATTCATTTTCAATGGAACTGAGACGTCGCAGTTCCCAGCTCAGTTATTATTATTAACCAACAGAGAAACGATGACCAATACTTACTGTGTAGTCGGCCTTAAACTCATTTTCAATGGAACTGAGACGTCGCAGTTCCCAGCTCAGTTCAAAAGCTGTAAGAATCGGATCTTTACTAGACAAGGCAATCAGCGATGGAGACGTGAGAGCACGATAAGCGTTAATTCTAGAACGAGAGTGACGCAAACAGTCGCTAGAGGTCGCCACTACGCAGTCATCGCATCCGCAGCGTACATCATGTGGCATCGGTAAGGTGGCGCCACGGTTGAGTAGCAGCTTCAATATCTCGTAATTGTCTTTATGAGCAGCTAGAATTAAAGGGGTCACGTCAGGCGTGTACTTGGCCATTTCTTGAGGCACATTCTCCCAACTCTATAACGAAAAATAGTTTATTAGTTTTTATAGTTTTTTTAATGTGAATAGTTTGTTTTAATTCTTAAATTGTACCCTCGAACTATATATTCGTATTTCGTTATTTTTTTTTTCATATAGTTAGGAAATGCGTCACGTTTTTTTACGTATTTTATTTTATTTAAATTATGGGAAAAAAATCAACACAATCTTTTTAAAAGAATGTAAATAATTCATTTTAATGTTTTGTTATTCTATGAAACTTTACTGGTATTTTTCTATTTGTTTGTTACAGAGGTTAAGTGAGTTATATAAAAACTATTCTGGAGCCTCACCACATCGTTACAGTCCATGTCGCTGCGTCTGATCTGACGACTGTGCATCTTAACAATAGCTCCTCAGTGTGGTTTCCATTGATAAAAGGCTCCGTCGTAAAGCTGGCATGTTCAAAAGCATACCCCCTCTCCCTGCAAGGTTTCCAGAATTCATCTAGAATATGAAGAAGATGGTTTCCCAAAGCCCGTTCTAGCAGCCCAATCGCACAGAAATCTTGAGGTACTACCCCTATGAGGGTACTTACTCATAGGGAATAGTTGAATATTCTTTTAATTCTCGAGCTACTTGAGGTATGCGTTGGTTGATATGTCGGCGGAAGGTGCTTGTGTACACGTGACTTTTATCACTTTTCCAGATGGAATCCTCCTAGATTATCTCGTTTACTGTTGCCTGTGGTGCATGAGCGGCTTCTGCTTCTAACCTTGGTGTTCGTGGATTCTCACGTGCTTGTTGCGTTTTCTTTTGTTTGTTTTTTATGTCCATATTTCATTGTTTATTAATGTCTTTAATATTAAAATGCTGTTACAAACCCCCTGTAACAAACTTTTTGTTACAAACCATCTGTTGCAAACTCTTTGTTACAAACCCCCTGTAACAAACTCTTTGTTACAAACCATCTGTTGCAAACTCTTTGTTACAAACCCTCTGTAACACTCTTTGTTACAAACCCTCTGTAACACACTCTTTGTTACAAACCCTCTGTTGCAAACCCTCTGTAACACACTCTTTGTTACAAACCCTCTGTTGCAAACTCTTTGTTACAAACCCTCTGTAACACACTCTTTGTTACAAACCCTCTGTTACAAACCTTTTGTTACAAACCCCCTGTTGCAAACTCTTTGTTACAAACACTCTGTAACAAACCTTTTGTTACAAACCCTCTGTTGCAAACTCTTTGTTACAAACCCTCTTACAAACACTCTGTTACAAACCTTTTGTTACAAACCCTGTGTTACAAACCCTTTACAGAAGCAAATTGTTTTCACTGCCTACGAAACGCCAAACAATGTCAAAATGAAGTTTTGATACACTCCGTTCCATTGCGACTTTATGTTTGCTCTGGTTATCACGTTACTTGCTGATCGGTATGTATGCATAATATATTTTATGTACTGTATTCAACCTTCTGTAGTCTTCGTTAAAGTGGTCTTTGGGAATGTTATGTAGTTTGTGTAAACGTGCATCAACATCAGAACATCTGTTTCATAAATATGATAGATAGTCTTACATTACATAGGATAGTTGGACAAGCTTATAAATCTCGTTATCACTATTAAACATAAACAATTACAAATAAAATACAAGTTTCAGAACTAACAAGATACCATTTTAACGTATTCCACGATGACTTTGAACTTGTCAAAATGACGTCGATGCAACAACATTTTTTATAATGTTGGCTGTTTTTATTTCCTCGCGTTGAAAAAGTGCATATCGATTGTTTGTTTATTGTCAAGTGTGAAGATACACGTCGAGCTATGTGCCCACCAGAGGATCGAACCCCCAGCTTCCCGCTGAGCCGTTGTGAGTGTTAGGAGTGTATATTAAATACAAAGTAAAGTTTGGCATAACACTTCGTTACACCTAACACGTAAATCTTGGTATTATCTTGTGTGTGTACGACATTATATGGGTTCGTAAGTCACTGGACGTTATGACTTGTGTGTGTACGACATTATATGGGTTCGTAAGTCACTGGACGTTATAACTTGTGTGTGTACGACATTATATGGGTTCGTAAGTCACTGGACGTTATAACTTGTGTGTGTACGACATTATATGGGTTCGTAAGTCACTGGACGTTATAACTTGTGTGTGTACGACATTATATGGGTTCGTAAGTCACTGGACGTTATAACTTGTATGTATGCGACATT